TTTTTTTTTTTTTTTTTTTTTTTTTTTTTTTTTTTTTTTTTTTTTTTTTTTTTTTTTTTTTTTTTTTTTTTTTTTTTTATTATTTTTTTTTTTTTTTTTTTTTTTTTTTTTTTTTTTTTTTTTTTTTTTTTTTTTTTTTTTTTTTTTTTTTTTTTTTTTTTTTTTTTTTTTTTTGTTTTTTTTATTTTTTTTTTTTTTTTTTTTTTTTTTTTTTTTTTTTTTTTTTTTTTTTTTTTTTTTTTTTTATTTTTTTTTATTTTTTTTTTTTTTTTTTTTTTTTTTTTTTTTTTTTTTTTTTTTTTTTTTTTTTTTTTTTTTTTTTTTTTTTTTTTTTTTTTGTTTTTGTTTTCTGCGTTTTATTTTTATTGTTATAGTTATTTTATTTTTTTATATATTTTTATTTTTTTTTTTTATATATGTTGTTATTTTTTAGTTATTTTTTTTATTTTTTTTTTTATTTTTTATTTATTATATATTTTATGTTGTTTTTTTTTTTTTTTAATAAAGAGAGAATAGAGCCAAAGCCACCACCTTCGAAGCCAAAGACAGAACGGAAAAGAACAGAGCCAAAGTCACCACTTTCGAAGCCCCCACCTAGAAGTAAAGAAATTCAGCCAAGAAATGAGGAGGTGGAGAGGTAACTAGTTATTACATCTCCAAAGTGGGGAGTCTCAAAGAGCCAAAGATCCGTGGCGAAGATAAAGCGAAGCTTCTACGGAGTCCGGTGTCTTGGACAAGAATGGGCTTTAGAGAATATAGGACCTAGAAAGATACCATACGAGACAAGAAATCCAGAGGCACCGTCGGGAAGTCCTTGCTGAAGAAGCAAGGCGAGGCCTGTTCCCCTTGCGTATCGAAACGATTGAAATTCAGGAACAGAGCGTCCCATCTGCTGAAGAAGAGAATGAAAGAGTACAAGACAACAATTGCAAAAGCAACGGGCTCCCATTACGCCAAGAAAATTCTCGAAAGAGAAAAGCTTGTGAGGGCCGACAAGCCCAACAAGGCTAAATTGAGGAGCGTAAAAGTAGCCGAGAAGGTGAAACCAAGAAGAGAAGAAATCGACCGAAGACGAAGAAGAAGATAGGCTTTCCTTGGAGCCAGAGAGTTCCGAGGACGAAAACGATTTCGACGAGGATCCTCCAAGTGAGGGATCCAAGGAGCCCAAGAAGGAAGAATAGGAAAAGAAGAAGTCACCGAAATAGGAAGAAGGAATTGAAGGAGCAACCACGATCACGACAAGCCCCTCGAATAATATACAAAAGATACTAGCATCGGGTCTTATGGAGACCAACCACACGAATCTCGTATCATAGAACAGAGGATCGTAGCAAAGAAAGAGAAACTCGAGGGATCCGGCAACGACCCAGAGCTAGAAATAGAGATCGCAAACCTAGAGGACGAACGAAGGCGCCTAAAGGAGGAGTGCGAGCGCCTTAGGGCGCAACAAGCAAGCGTGAAGAAATAAGAGCCCGAGCTCCGTAAAGACCAATCAAAGTACGACGCGCGCTACAAACGGCAAGTGGAAAAGGGAGACAACCATTGGAAGACTTAGTGCGTGGAAAAGAGACGAAGAAGAATGTAAAAGCACAGACGCGGCGGTGAAGGCGACAAAGCAAAGGAGAGGATCGAAGTCGACAAGAAATGGTATGCCCGATACGATATGTAAATGAGGCAGGGCGACTTCTACGACAATCAGAAGGAAAAGGTCGACGATATTAATATGGAGATCATCCATAATAATAAGACGGAAGCCAAACCCGAGTGGCGGAAGGATTACCGTCCCCTCACGAAAGGAGAAAGGACAAGCCACCCCACAGATGCCGACGACGAGGAGGAATTTTATCGCAAGAAGCTCGAAAAGCAAGAAAAGCCGAAAGCGATTAGGCGCTACTCGGCAGACCCATCGATCGCGGCCTAACAGATCCACCCACCCCAACTCCCTCCCGCCCCCACCCCCCTCCCCGCCCCCACCTATGCAGAGCCTTTTTAAGGGGTTTATGGGTACGAAGCCTTTTTAAGGGGCTTATAATTTAGGGGGTATTATAGCCCGCCCTCGTCCTCTTGGTTTTTGATGAACTCTTTGAGTCCATCAAATAGCACATCCACTTTGTCGCTCACCAATCCTGTTCGAATTGAATGTACTGGCTATACAACCAGGGCTTACGGAATGTTTCCTGCACATCTAAGCAATATTTGATCACAATAGTGCAATGATGTTGGGCTTAAGTTGTAGTAGAGGCGTTCAATAGCGGTCCGGACATATTCTGCGGCACCGATCTGGAGAGCAGAAACTCTCCGAGGGGATTCGTTTGAGCAAGGGTTGCTTCTGAATCTGTAAGCATCAAAACACAAGAAGGGCGCTACAGCTAAATTTAAAGTGTCTGAAGTTAAGAGCCCAAACAACCCAGTAAGCTAAGATCCATCCAAGTAAAGAACAAAGCCCTAAGCCCTAAGCCCTAAGCCCTAAACTCTAAGCCTTAAACCCTAAACCTTCGCTTTGCCTACCTTGGGGACCAATGAGCCCTAAAAATGGGGTCACATACCCTATACTACTATCATCCCTATTAAGGTATATGAACCATAAACCCTTTTAGGGTTCATTTCGTCCCCAAGTATGGAGCGAGGCCCCTGGCACATGTTGCGATACTGCCACCCTGACTTGCTTTCGCATGCTTGCACTGCTAAGCCCTAAGCCGTAAAAAACCGCTGTGTAGACCCTAAACCTGTTTAGGGTTTAGGGTTTAGGAAACTCGAAAAACCCTAAAAGCCTTATAATAAACCTACGTGTAGACCCTAAACCCTCAATCGCCCCATGCCCCGAATGCCGAGGCCCAACCCTGCGGAGCTCAGGCAGGCAGTGTTTCAGAAGTCCCAAAACCAGGGATCCTCCTACAGAGAGACTGGTACCTCTTAGACAAGGCTCTGGCATCTCAATTCCTGGCGTTTTGAGGGCCCAAGAGCCTTAGGGTAAGGAATGCTCCGGTCATGAGCGGACACCTCCGCTTGCAGAATTCACGAGCAATCCTGAAATTACAGGAGATTGAGATTTCTACTATGGCTTGGGGATATTTTGGAAGTTCTGGGTACGGGTTGCCTTCAGCCCAGGAAACAAGAAAACTTCCAACATTAAGGGTGTGCTCGTGTGCCCTGCACACCTTAAACCTTAAACGAATTCGCAAGAACAACCGTTCCAAGACTGCAGGTAAGGTGAATCCCAACCAGTGAGAGACAATGATGGCAACGCGTAAACTCGTCCTGTGTAGTACTCCAACAAGGCGTCCATGTTTTTGTTCAGTGTTGATGTTGCTTCTTGGATGTTCTCGTTAATGATTCTGTCGCCCTCAATGACAGCGTCCTCCCAAGGATGAGGCTGACTGTCGAAACCAGTGCATTCAAAGTCATGTCATGTCGTGCAGAAGGTCCTTGATGCAATACAAGTCGCAAAAAATCCGGGAAAATCCCGCTTTCGGGCCATTGCAATCTCTTCTTGTTTTGCCTTGGCTGTCAGGCAATCAATACAACTGCTGGCCACCGCCAGCAAGAAGCACATGCGAACTTGATGCCGGTGGATGGTGTGTCCGAACGTGCAGCTCTACCATGCTCTTTCGTGACGACTGTTTTCTGGATGCAATATAGATAACTGTGATGCACAGAAGCCTGAAACATCACCGGAAACTAAACTGATGGTAAACAGGTGCACCAGGTACACGCTGCTGGCCAACCAGTGCGGCCGGTGTGTGTGTGTGTGTGTGTGTCTCTGTGTGTCTCTGTGTGTGTGTGTGTGCGTGTGTCTGTGTGTCTGTGTGTCTGTGTGTCTGTGCGTCTGTGTCGGTGTGTGTGTGTGTGTGTGTCTGTGTGTCTGTGCGTCTGTGTGTCTGTGTGTGTGGCTGTGTGTGTGTGTGTGTGTGGGTGTGGGTGTGTGTCTGTGTGTGTGTGTGTGTGTGTGTGTGTGTGGGTGTGTGTGTGTGTGTGTGTGTGTGTGTGTGGGTGGGGGCGTGTGTGCGTGCATGCCTTCGTGCGCGCGCGCGCGCGCGCGGGCGTGCGGGCGTGCATGAGTGCGCGCGTGCATGAGTGCGTGCGTGCGTGCATGGGTGCGTGCGCGTGTGCGTACGCGCGTGCTAGAGTGCGTGCGTGGGTGGGTGGGTGGTCGGGCGGGTGGGTGTGTGGGTGTGGGTGTGGGTGTGGGTGTGTGTGTGTGTGTGTGTGGGTGTGTGTGTGTGTGTGTGGGTGTGTGGGTGTGTGGGTGCGGGGGTGTGTGTGGCCAACAACAACAAGCAACAACAAGCAACAAGCAACAAGCAACAAGCAAGAAGCAAGAAGCAACAAGCAACAAGCAAGAAGCAAGAAACAAGAAGCAAAAAGCGAGAAGCAAGAAGAAAGAAGCAAGACGCAAGAAGCAAGAAGCAGGAATCAAGCAACAAGCAACAAGCAACAACAAACAAGCAACAACCAACAAGCAACAACCAACAACAAACAAACAACAACCAACCACCTACCACCTACCACCAACAACAACACCAACAGCAAAACCAACAACAAAACCAACAACAAAACCAACAACAAAACCAACAACAAAACCAACAACAAAACCAACAACAAAACCAACAACAAAACCAACAACAAAACCAACAACAAAACCAACAACAAAACCAACAACAAAACCAACAACAAACCAACAACAAAACCAACAACAAAACCAACAACAACAACAACAAGAAGAAGAAGAAGAACAAGAAGAAGAAGAACAACAACAACGACAACAACATTGTTCATTTCATTTTGGACGCATGTGCGGGATACGTCCCGCACCTTGGCGGGCATCGAGGGTGAGAAGAGGGACCTATGTAAGTCTGCAGGAAGAGCCGGTTGGCTGTGTTGGGCCAGTTGTCAGGCCTGTGAGCAAGCAACTGACAGACATGGCAGGCAAGTGATCAAAGCCTCGAAACCGAATGATTGGACGTGAAGACCTCAGAGTAGAGGGTTTGAGTTGCAGGAATTGAAGGAACGATTGTTTGGAACTCTTGGCTCAGCGAGCCGTGGCAGTCAAACCTGGGTGAAACTTGAATCGCAGTAAAGCTCTCAGTTTGTGTTTCTGTGTAGGAGGCGACCTCACTCTCACAGGGCTCGGTTCTGGACTGTACAGATTAGGGGTTAATGCGAAGCACCGATTCCCTCGCATGCAGGTGCGTCTTGACCTGCTTCTTGTGGCGAAATGAGAGCATCTTGTATGCCACTGCAAAGATTTTGTAGTCATCGTAAATATCCTCATAGAGGGGATTGATGATGCCAAGTTGGACATGAAGTGTCCCCCTGTTTGGATTCCTCTGGCAGCCTGCAGCGATGTCCCGTACTTGAAGTTTATCTCCCGCAGTAATGAGTCCTCCAGCGTTTGAATGACTTCTCTGCCAGGTACTCGACCGCGGTCAAGAAGCTGCTTTAACCAGTTTAGGTCCTCGATCGTGAGCTCTCGAGAGAGCAGCGCTCGGTATTCAAGAAGGTTTCGCTCAATGGCTCCTGGTAGGTGAGGATCATGGTGTTGAGGAGTTCGAGATATTGATCGTAGGGTAGGTCCTCAAGCTGCGCTCTTGGCGTAGTATCTGCCAACTGTTGGACGTTGTGAGACATCGTTTGCGCTGCGAGACGGAAGGGTGTTTTTCATCATCTGCTGTGATCGGAAGAGGATGGATGCACGGCGAAGGGCTTGGAAGTCGAAGAAGTCCAGATCAAGTTGAAGATCATCATTGATCCTATAGGAGCCCGGGTAGTGCTGCATGCCCTGCCAAGCGGCTTCGAAGGAAGGCTGAGTCTCGTCTATGCCTTGTAGTAGGCGAGAAGTCGATGCTCGCAGTAGTAGCTCTAAGTAAGAGATGGCATACTGGATCAACAACAACAACACCAACACCAACAACAACACCAACAACAAAAAACACCAACAACAAAAAACACCAACAACAACAACAACAACAACAACAACAACAACAACAACAACAACAACAACAACAACAACAACAACAACAACAACAACAACAACAACAAGAACACCACCAACAACAACAACAACAACAACAACAACAACAACAACAACAACAACAACCACAACAACAACACCAACAACAACAACCACAACCACAACCACACCCACACCAACAACAACAACAACAACAACAACAACAACAACAACAACAACAACAACAACAACAACAACAACAACAACAACGCGCGGACGCTCTGTAAACGCGCGCGGAGAAGCGTGTTCACGGCACGTGCACTTTTAGGGGGGGTTTCATAAATGCATTTCGCGCGGCCTGCGTGGGATGGAATACACCTGTCCTAGAACTGAAAGTGCGTGACAACGTTTTTTTTTTGGATTCTTTTGGGGACGGAACCATGTCAAGTTCCGTCCAAAATGACCGTTTCGCTCGAGACGTCCTGCCGACGCTTTTTTTGCGTTTTTGTTTTTTTTTTGGTTTTGTGTGCAGGAGGCTGAAAAAAAGATGGTTTGCGTGGAAAAAAAACAGCAGACTGGCTGACATATAAGCGGTTGTTGCTTTGCTTTGAACACGTACGTACACGTACGTTCTCCAAGACAGGTAAACTTCTTCGTCACATGTTGCAGGGTGACATCAGCAAGCTGACAGATATTCGAAGCTGCTACATACGTTAAGAAAAAGGCGCAGTCAATACGTAACCCTGAAAAGACACCAGAAGTAGTCCCCTACTGCAGCCAGCGCCAGCGGTGCATCGATGCCAGAGATGCGCAACACGGTGACGAATCAAAAGGGGACAACTAACTAAACCCTCATCCGAGGCTGGCAGCCAAGCGCAAAGAGCGAGTGATAACACGGACGTAATCATCGTTCGGGCATGGATGCTCTGGCCAATCGCACGCACTGGAAACACGGACGTCATCATCGTTCGGGCATGGATGCTCTGGCCAATCGCACGCACGGGTAACACGGACGTAATCATCGTTCGGGCATGGATGCTCTGGCCAATCGCACGCACTGGAAACACGGACATGGATGCTCTCATCATCGTGCGGGCATGGATGCTCTAACACGGACGGCCAATCGCACGCACGGGTAACACGGACGTAATCATCGTTCGGGCATGGATGCTCTGGCCAATCGCACGCACTGGTAACACGGACGTAATCATCGTTCGGGCATGGAATCGCACGCACTGGTAACACGGACGTAATCATCGTTCGGGCATGGATGCTCTGGCCAATCGCACGCACTGGTAACACGGACGTAATCATCGTTCGGGCATGGATGCTCTGGCCAATCGCACGCACTGGTAACACGGACGTAATCATCGTTCGGGCATGGATGCTCTGGCCAATCGCACGCACTGGTAACACGGACGTAATCATCGTTCGGGCATGGATGCTCTGGCCAATCGCACGCACTGGTAACACGGACGTAATCATCGTTCGGGCATGGATGCTCTGGCCAATCGCACGCACTGGAAACACGGACGTAAGCATCGTTCGGGCATGGATGCTCTGGCCAATCGCACGCACTGGTAACACGGACGTAATCATCGTTCGGGCATGGATGCTCTGGCCAATCGCACGCACTGGTAACACGGACGTAATCATCGTTCGGGCATGGATGCTCTGGCCAATCGCACGCACTGGTAACACGGACGTAAGCATCGTTCGGGCATGGATGCTCTGGCCAATCGCACGCACTGGTAACACGGACGTAAGCAACGTTCGGGCATGGATGCTCTGGCCAATCGCACGCACTGGAAACACGGACGTCATCATCGTGCGGGCATGGATGCGCTGGCCAATCGCACGGACTGGTCACACGGACGTAATTAATCATCGTGCGGGCATGGATGCTCTGGCCAATCGCACGGACTGGAAACAGAAACGTAAGCATTTCCGGCATGCCAACCACGCGAAACACCGCAATGCCGGTGTTTTCCGCATGTTAGCGCCGCGAAGCACTGTAAATACCGATGTTTCAGCCACTTACAGAAACGTGAAAAGTGGACAGCCGGAATCACCGGTGGCAGTGGTGTTTTCGGCATGTGAAGCACACGAAACACTGTAAATAACGATGGAATCGGCATATGCTGAACGCGCGTTTACAGAGCGTCCGAGCCAACAACAACAACAGCAGCAGCAGCAACAGCAGCAAGACCAGCAACACCAGCAGCAACAACAACAACACCAGCAGCAGCAGCAGCAACAACAACAACAACAACAACAACAACAGCAGCAGCAGCAGCAACAGCAGCAACACCAGCAACACCAGCAGCAACAACAACAACAACAACAACAACAACAACAACAACAATTTATTGAACGCTGAGCGAGCAGGCTCCGCTCATAGCGGGCGATTCTGAAACTTCGGGAGGCGCCATGCCCTTGGCTTGCCCCGCCCGTGAGACGTGCCGTGCCGTGGCCAGCTCCGCCCTTCGGACGTGCCTGGACCATTAGCCAAAAGCCCATTGAAACGTGCCGTTGCCAGCTCCGTCCTTTGGACCCGCCTAGCCAAGGACTAACAAGCCAAACAGGACCAAACCGAAAACTACCAACACACAAGCAACAAGACCCAACACGTACTTAGGCGGAGGAGCGGGCGCGGGGGGACTGCGCTGCGATAATCGCAGCTACCTACCTCATCCCTTTGAAGAGCAATGGACGAACCTAAAGCTCCTAGGCCCAGGCTGCTACCTCTGCCACGAACGTACGATAACAAGAAAAGAACACAAGGCAAGCGCATCCTTGGAATCAGACTTGCCGATGCCTCAGAGAAGGGAAAGGAAATGCCTACAAGGAATAGAGTTTAAAATGAGGCCTGCTTGAGCTGGCTGTACAAAGCTGTAGAAACAGCAGGCTCGCAAATCGGCTTCAAATGATAACTGAAACTGCTTAAGGCCCAGCTCAGACTCACTCGCTTTTGACTGTCTCCGTCACCCTAAATGTGAGTCATCGCGTCCGACACTCACGCACTGGTGCCGGTGGGCCATACCCGGATGGGCCGACACCCTGAGTTCCCGTCTAGTGGCGTCCCACACTAGGTAACTCACGACAACCAGCGGAGGAGCCAGTAAAGGCCGTGAAGGACTGTGTCCTTGGATGCTCACAACTGTGTTGCGGCAGCGGCATATCGCTCATCAGAAAGTCTGTGCCCAGCCGTGTCGTGGAGCCGTACCATAGTGCAGAAACTGCTAGAGGGCGAACCTGCTCCTCGCCACAAGAGCGAGTCCCGGCTCTCGCACCCCACTGCAAGACGAGGCGTTGGTGACATGTTGGGGCCAGCATCACCCTCAAGCAGCCCTGCGCATGTAGCTGGTCGTACTTCAGAACTGTGGTTGCAGTGTCCCAACCTGCACCTTGTCCTGTAGACAAGACCGGCCCGGCGCCCCGTCTGGGGCCACAAGGGCACCCCATGTGCATCGAAAGACATCAGGGTGCTCAGCGGGGCCAGAATTGGGAGGATTACGTCGTGCTGAAGGCCGTTGGATAGCTTTGCGTTTGGCAGCTGTGTTGCAAGTCCGTACAACCTTATCGGAGACTTCTCATCCTCACCAACGTTTGACGTTTTCCCCGGAGCAAGCAGCATGTCAGCTGCGCTCCCTTTCAATAGTATCCAAAGCAATACGTGACTGGGCTGTAGCTCGAACTGGGGGGGGGAGGGGGGGGGAGGGGGCGTGTCGTGGCCAGTCACGTACTTGTCTGCGAAAGCGGCTTTTGAGCATGAGTGTCTCGGAGAAGAAGCTGCACCTTCGCATAAACTGCACAGAAAAGGATTGCAGTGATCTCTGAGTGCATCATCCCGGGGAAGCTGCTCGAAGCACAAAAACAGGCCTCAGCACTGATACTTCTTGCATAGCAACCAGGCTCTGAAGTCGACCAATGTTGCGCTGCTCCAAGGATGTCTGTGTGCTGCAGAACCTTTTGTAAATGGAAAAGTGTAGGCAGGAGAAATGTACTGAGGCGCGTTCGGCTCGCCATCCGCTTGTTTTTCCCCTCCAGAAACATAGATGATGAAGTCACTAAAGAGGGTACTCCTTCCACCTCGCGGAGCAGTGGAAACCCTACCGCTTACCTCTGCAAACTCGTTGTTGTCGGTGTGCGTGAGGCCCGGGAATTGGGACCCGGCGGTTCACAGCAGAGTCGACTCGTAGCTCCAATGGCAAAATGGCTCAGGCAAAGGCAGAATCCTTAATACGCTTCTGCGAAGGCAGGGCCTGTTGCTGAGCTCTAGTGCGTTCGGCCTGGAGGCTGGTCCAACTGCTGTGAACCGTGCGGCTACAACAACAACAACAAACGCAACTGCAACCGCAACCTCAACCATAGCCACCAGCAGCGCACCCGCAGCCGCAACTGCCACCACCACCAACGACCACGACCTACGACCCACAACAACGACGACGATCAATACTACAACAAAAATTAACAAAACATCAACAGCAACAGCAGCAACCAATGCAGCGACAGC